AATTATTCTGTGTCTGCTACTACCCATTAGTAACCTGGGTTACACTTTCCCCCCTTGAATTCAGGCATGTCCTTGGGCATGCATGGGGTTGAACTGTCACTACTGAGGGAAAAGTAACGGGCATATTCAAGGACTGGTCCCTGGATCCTTCCAGGGAAGTGGTAAGTACAGAACTCAAGCCTTGCAATAAGGACTGAATAACCATTGTTAGGGGATTTCCTAGCTTATGGTACTGAAGTTTGTTAGGGGGCCCACACTGCCATTTAGAACGTATTGGGTCAATGCCTTCAAGGTCATCATCCATAGATAGGACAGGTGGTGTCTGGTCATGGAGTTGGGCTTCCTCACTCACAGTATCCGACAGACCTAAAGACTCCAGCACATTCTCATTCGAAGGTTCTGATAACTCTGGGAACTTAGTCTCTTCAAAACATTTGTTTCTGCAGGTCTCCACACCAACTTTGTCTCCAGGCGATCCGGAATTAATTCCAGTGTCATCTCCGACAGGATACACATTGGGTAGGTGACTTTCCTCTCCATTATCTGTTTGATTATGCGTTTCTTTTCCTTCTCCCAAGCTAACGTGAGGTAATGTTTTTCTTAAAGGGTCTACTAAAACCAGAGGTGGTTCAAAAACGTCAGACAAGATTTCCTTCGCAGGATTTACCACAGCTGGAGATGACTCAATGGACTTTGTTTCAGGTAAGGTTTCTACAATCAATGGACTTCCTGGAAAAGGTGAGATTGTCTTTGTGCTGAAATCCAATTGGGGTCCTGAATGGTTTGTATGAACAGGGTCATCCTCTGATTCTGACTGACTGCTCATTAGAGGCTCTTGCTGGGCTGCTTCATTTGCAGAGTGGGATCTGGTTCTAGGCTTACGACGCACCTTCAGAGGATGTGACTCTTCAATTTCACTCACGGGTAGAAACCCACAAGGCAGGTTTCTACCCCTTTCGGGACAGACTGTATATACTGGCATGTCACCTGCTTTACTGAGTGCCACATAAATCTCAGATTCCCATTTGTCCGATAACTTGTGTTTCCCTCTCAATTTGACATTTCGCACCAGGACCCGATCACCCGGTTCAAGTGCAGAGGCATTTACATTCCTGTCGAACCGTCTTTTATTCTGATCAGCTACTTTTGATGCATTATGAGTAGCAACTCTGTAGCTTTCCTCTAGTCGACTCTTTAGGGATTTCACGCATTGTGAATGCGACGGAAATGAGGTATTGGAAGAGAGTCCGAAAGCGAGATCGACTGGTAGTCGAGGCTGCCTGCCGAACATAAGCTCATAGGGTGAGTCCCCCATTACATCACTCCTGGTGCAGTTATACACATGCACCAAGGGTCTGACATGATCTTTCCAATGAGCTTTGTTCTTGTTCTCCAGCATACCTAGCATCTGCAAAAGAGTTCTATTAACACGTTCCACCGTGTTCCCTCTAGGATGGTAGGGGGTGGTCCTCACTTTGCAGATGCCAGCGATCCTGCACAATTCTTGGATGGTGCGAGATTCAAAGTCTGACCCCTGGTCGCTAAGCAGCTTTTCCGGAAAGCCATAATGGACAAAGAAATTATCCCATAGGCATTTAGCAACTGTTTGTGCTTTTTGATTTCGGGTAGGTATTGCGACAGCTGTAGAAGATTTTTATTGGTCAAAATATGAACTAATCAAGTATAATCAATGTGAATCTAGCCATTTATGTATCAAGTCATTCTACTATTATAATCATGTAGAGGCCTGTGTGTAGAGGCCTGCATGAGAATGGAATGTGCAGACATTACAAAACTGCAGTATATGGTGCAGCTGCATATCCTATTTGGAAATTAGACAAAATGTATGATGGGGCCTCTCTAGTCATGGAACATAAATTGGGGTCTCCTGTCTGCTTCTGGGTGGCAGGCTGGAGACACAGCCAAAAGAGGTAAACGAGTTGGTAAACAATAACCATATGTATGAAACATGGGCACGCCTAAGGAAAGCACTGTATTAAAGAAAGTACAGACACAGACTCGATAGATTTTCTGCAGATCATCTCTAGACTGCATTATCGCTCTGATAATAAAAGTAAATTTTTCTGGCATCAAAACCCAAAGACTCTGAGAATGATTCCTCACAGCACCGGCAGAAGCCACCACATTTGGCGCCCAACGTGGGGCTGGAAAGGAGCAGGGTGGAGGACCACTTTGGGCTGGCTTGACGAACAACATTATTAGTGGCCACTAAACAATGAGGTAGGCAGTTTTTTGCTTATATAATAGGTGTTGTTTGTCAGAGTCAGCCAGTGGTGGTATAGACTCTCGAAAATGCTCCTCCAAATTTAAAGAACAAAAATAAAAAGGGTTTTGATTCCAGAAGAAATAATTGCATGCACTGATCTGTTTTACTATAATAGTAAATGAGGGCAGATTGTGCATGCAAAAATCTGTGTTTACTGCCCAGAGGGCCTTGATGGAGGGTAGTTAGCTAGGCAAAAAATCCTGCAGAGTGCTGTTTTTTACTGTGTTGAGTAAGTGTATCAGTAAAAGAACGAGTAGAACTGACAGGTCACTTAGGAAGAGTGTAGAGTAGTCTGTGTAAATGTATGTGTCTGTGTCTATCTGAGTGTATTTGTGACTTGTGGTTGTATGAGAAAATAAACTCTATATCTGGTGGAGCAGGAGGTGTGTGCCCCTCCTGGACTGTCACTTGAGTGTGATCAGGTCACGGAGACGGACGCAGCTGGTGTTGTGCTGGAGAAGAGTGGATGAGTCTGTGAGCCCTAAACAATAAAGAGACTTGTATGAATGTTGTTTTAGAAAAAAAAGTATGCCAAGATATGGACTTTGCAGATTATTGAAATAATAATAGATTAATTAAAATAAGATATACATTTCTTATTTAATGACATGTCTTAACAAGAGTGCACATGCTTAAAACTATATATCTGAAGACGTCTAAAATTTGTATCTTGTTATCCCTGGGACACATTGTGCTGGAGAAGAGTGAATGAGTCTGTGAGCCCTAAACAATAAAGGGACTTGTATGAATGTTGTTTTAGAAAAAAAAAAGTGTGCCAAGATATGGACTTTGCAGATTATTGAAATAATAATAGATTAATTAAAATAAGATATACATTTCTTATTTAATGACATGTCTTAACAAGAGTGCACATGCTTAAAACTATATATCTGATCTAAATTAGACAAACAAGTGACATTTGAGAAATTATAATTGGCTCTCTCAAGTGCAAAATGCCTAGGCCTATTATTCTAAACAAATTCATTTATTAGATTTTGATGAAAAAAAAGAAAGAAAGAAAAAGATAGGTTTATACAGCGATGTTAAACTAAACTTTATGATGACTGACGTTGCCTGGTTGCATGACATCTAAAAACTATGTGGAACGCTACCAGGTCTATGCTCAGTAGAGTCTAACGAAAGAAAAAATAAATAAATCATGCTACTCAGAATTCGTAAAGAGGAAGTGGAAAGAGAAGGAAACAGACAAGCAGACAACTCAGGAGAAAGTGACGTAGAGAGACCAGTAACACAACATGAAGTGCAAACTGATGACAACTCAAAAAGGGATAAGCAAGAAGCTCAGATTCTTTTGTCAGAGAAGCAGAAAAGTGAAAAGATATCTGATGATCATCACATGAATAAACAGATGTGTCTCATTTTAAATAGGCCTAAACAAACCAAGATGACAAATTAATTTCAGTCAGAAAGTTACTTTTGCAATGATTAAATAAATGTCCAGGATTATCTAGTGAAATGGGATTAGATGTAATAAAACTGGGAGGTAAATGCTTAACTACAGAAAAGCAACTGAATTACAGTGCATACGAACCCGTAAATGGCCAAGAGTATGGTAAGAAAAATAAATACAAAAGCCACAAGGAAAAATACCAGTAATGGCAGATCAAGTATTTGAATGTTATAAAAAGAATGGAACTATTGACATAGGGAAATTAAAGGAAATGCAGCAAAATATTGAAAATACCACGATGTAAATATGACTATTTAGTGATAAAAGAAGGCCCACCACCTATATTTGATGACACCGATATTGCATTGTGGCAGACATATGTGGATTAGAATAAGGCCTCTTGCCAACGTTACCAGAATATTTGTCAGGATTATGTACTAGGGTTATGCTGACACATAAAATGAGTCATATCTCTCTAGAAGAGGAAACAACAAATGAAGAAAAAACTAGAACCAAAAGAACAGATGAAAAAGACCCTGCAGATTATATAAATTCAATCAGTCAACCTAAAGGCATGCCTAACGAATTTAATACAAAAGATGAAGTTAAATTAAAGTTTAAATCGATATTAATTTGTTTCTATATCAAGGTCACTAGTTATCAAAGCCACAGCTAAGCAAATGGAAATTCTAAGACGTCAAGATGATGGGAAATTAATTTTTGAGCGTAACCAAAATGGCCCTCTACAATGCAAAGGATCTGGAATGAAGATCAACTATGCTATTTTCTGTGATGTTACATGTTTTATGTTTTGAATTTTAATGTCTGAAGTAATGACCAAATTGAAAAACCTAAGGATTGAACTTAAAGAAAACGCAGGAAAAGATAATCAAATGTGGGACTGGTTTGATTTTAAGTTAGGAGCATGGGGAGCATGGTTAGCTAAATTAGGAATGTTTTTAGGAATTGCAGAATTAATAGGAGGATTACTATTTTACTGTGTATTTTCTATATCAAGGTCACTAGTTATCAAAGCCACAGCTAAGCAAATGGAAATTCTAAGATGTCAAGATGATGGGAAATTGATTTTTGAGGGTAACCAGAATGGCCCTCTACAAGTGTCTGGGCTGAAGATCAACTATGCTATTCAGCCATTTTCGGCCAGTAAAATCTGGAACGGAGAAGATCGAGGGTTCTCTCCAGACCAAGGTGACCCATGTCATCATGAAGACTGGTAAGCACAATTCCTCGAAGGTCTTTTGGCAAGGCCAGTTGGTTCAATGCTTTGTCTCGGTCCATCCTCTTCCTATACAACAATCCATTCTTTAGCTCAAGTCTATTCCATTGTCTCATCCATAGGGTTACTGCAGGTGAGTGGAATTTCAGGTTTGCAGGTTTGTTGTTTGACTCCAGGTAAATAATTACCTCTTTCATTTCAGGGTCTGCTCGCTGCCTCCTGATCAGATCCTCTACGGACAGGTGAGGTATCTCGGGAAGACCATGGACACCTTCTCTCTGGATTTCTGGAGGTAAGGCCTTTGCATTCATGCTTAGGGACTCTATTAAAGTTAGCGGGAAGGGCTGAGAATCAAGGGTGACGATGTTTTTCACAGATGGCCCCCACTATTTCCGGCAAGATGGTTTTAGTGCTGCCTTCAAGATATGCAAAGTGCCGTAGAATAAATTGTCTGATTCTCTCTTGCTCTTTTTTAGATTCCAGGTCATCTGAGGGTCCACCATTCAGACGACGAGACAGTCCGTCCACATCTTGATTTTGAGCTCCCGCTCTGTACTGCATCTTAAAATTGTACATTGAAAGACTGGATAACCATCTATAACTAGTGGCATCGAGTTTGGCCGAGGTAAGGACATAAGTGAGTGGATTGCTATCCGTGACCACTGTAAAGTCTGCCAAAGGCCAAAAGAACAATTAGCACTTCATAATGTATGTATTAATTCGGTTTAACACAATTTTAAATAAACAACAATTAAATTATATTCATATGCCTCTGTGTACTGAATTTCTTTGTGATTTTTTTTCTTATTTGGCTATCTTTTTTTTTTTTTTTTTAAATAAAAGCATCCCACTTAAATTCTATGCAATCGCTTGTATAATTACCTTGTTTAACACACAAAGCATGTTAATGTTGGCATTTCACAGGAATTACAAAAAATTTTTTCTCTATTTTACTCTTTATGTCTGTTTTCATCATTTATACTACACCAAATAAATGGTTAATTTATGAAACACATTTTTAACAAGACTTTGAACCATATTGTAATGAAAATAAATGAAAACCACACCAACTCACCAAGGAAACTCATTCAAATATACATATGAAGAACCAGGAAACTCCCGATGGTACACGTTTGAAGATGTCACTCTCAGACATTCTCTGCTTTTCTCTCAATCCTTCGTTAGAAATATATATATATATATATATATA